GGGCATTTCCAAGGCAATGCTTCAACATGACACTGGCAAGCTGGGCATGATTAACATCTATGCTCAGCTTGAGGGGGAGTGTAGAGGAGATGGGCCGAATGGCCCATAGACTGTCATTTCATGTTATGTTATGTTTCCCTTTGTTATGGGCCTTATTTTGGGCCCATACTCTGTAATGTTCTGTTTTTTGTATTTTTCTGCCCACTCAAGGGCCTCTCGGTAATTTATCAAAGATTAACACCTTAATAAAATGTTTAGAGTGTTAGAGTGAGGTTAAGTTCAGAACTCTCACTCTCTAACACTCATTGCCACCAGCTCTCTCTCTTCTCTTCCTCTCTTGTTTGTTTAGTTTCTGTTTTGCATCTAATCTCAAACAGTTCCATACATCAAGTGAATTGTTTTTCAACTGAACCGTTTGATGAAATTGGCATGCTAATCGGGAAAACTCGTTGCTAGAACACATTAGATACAACCAAGAAATCTGAGTGAAATTATCCACAAGTAATTAGTGAAAACTACCTATATTAGGATTATGGTATCATTCCCAAACATCAGTATGCACAATACCAAAATGAACGCTAATATTTCTATTGTTGGATCAAGAAAATTACAATGTTTAACTAATTGACAATTTTCACATTGTTAACAGACAACTTAACAAACTTGAGCAACTCAGGAAACAAAATACTCAAAAGAAAGAGAAATTTTGTAGATGAGTATGCCAAATTGCTACTAAATCTACAAACTCATTGAAATAAACTTACTGGCCAAACAACTACTCTGATGATATTCCCTTGCAAGAGGCACATCCAGAAGCTATATTCCGTTCACCTAACTGTTGCACAGTGTATGCCCTTGAAATCCAATAGTTTTTTAATGTCGCTTTTATTATGAATAGAAGTTTCTTTAGAATTTAGATTATGGTTAATGCTTTCTTTGACTGATTTTCAGGAGGCCTAGTTTGTTATTGCTTTAGATTAGCAGTCATATGTTTCTTTACAGGGAACTAACAGAAGGCCCAGTAAAGTTTTGTTTGAAATTCTTGTTTTTAATATAGTTAGCAAGTTTGTTTAGGTTTGTTCTGTACAGTTTTCATTTTGAACTTTTACCTTGGAGAGTTTCTTGAATTTCTGGTTTAGCTTAGAATAGTGGCTGTTTCGAAACTTGTTAGAGATATACCGTTTTGCCTTTTGTTTTTCTTCTTGACATGGCAAAAAAATTCACTTTCTTCCCTATTGTGATTTTGTGAGTTCCATCCTTCCCTGATTGTAGTTAATATTTTGTCGGAGAATATTTATTTTCTAGAACGAGGGGTGTCTGGTTGTTCTGAATTCCTTTTGAGTTCAGTTATTCTACACAAGTTCAGCATGTAAACCATCTTTTCCGCAGAAATTTGTATGTAATATCAAATTCTGCAAATATATGTACTGAAATTGGTGCCATTATGAGAAATCCTATCATCCTCTCTTGCCTAGCAGTTAAAACTGGCTTTGTGCTGGACAACTTATTTGGATATAGTTGTTATTGCAGCAGAACACTCTTTATGCAAAGCAGTCTAGAAATTACATTTTCTCCTTGAGAGTATGATTGTCATGTTCAACTGAAGTAGGACAATTGCATCTTGATGCAGGCATCTATAATGTCCAAACATCTTGCAAAGTCTGAGAGGCCAAGGTACTTACACTAATTTGTTCTTTGTTTTTCCTGTATATATCATCATCATCATCATTATTTTGAAAAGGCTTCCTAATTCGGTCAAGTAATACTTGATTTGCCAGGTTGAGAGATAATGTGGCCTATCTTAACTGTCTACATAATTGATAGGTTTTTGTAGTGGTGGCTTGTTCAATCCCATGGTCAATGTTTTCCCTAGATCCCATTTTGTGTAGGTTTTTTTAGCCAACTGATGTTAGCTGTCCATATTTTGATTCCTTAGTACAAAAATTGCTGACATAAAAATGGTCTTGTTGGATCACATGGCTAGGGCTTTCAGGCTGAATATCCTCTCATTAATAGGAGAAGAAACAGATCAGCAAAACTGTTCTTACTAGCAAAACTGACCATTTTGGGCCTCAGACAAACTTTGCCACTTCAAAAATTCTTTCTTTATCTAGAGTTCTTTTAATGGCTCCACTAGCAAAACTGTTTTTACTTTATTTTAAAATGATGCAAGGTTTTTTGTTCTTTTAAATGCATGGCAAAGTCTTCTGGGTCAAAATCTCTTTCATGAATGTAGTTTAGGGAGATGAACAAGGAGACTCTTTTCAGGTTGAGGATCCCTGGTTCATTTAGACTTCTTTACTAAATGACTGAACTAGCATACCTGCTCCTTGTTATTTTTGTTGCTGTTGTTAATTGTTGTTGTTGTGGTGGTTATTATTATTATTTTTATTATTATTATTATTATTACTACTATTATTATTATTATTATTATTATTATTATTATTATTATTATTATTATCATCATCATTGTTTCGTATCTGTTTCAACCTCTTTTTGTATTTATGCAGAAGAGTGAATGGGCATTTGGATTCTGAGAGAGATTCTATTCTCTCATTACCAGCTGAGGTACACCTGATATTTATTTTCTTATTTTAGTTAGCTCCTATTTGACCTATTTTTTAGAACCTTGACTTCAGGTAGCACTAATCAATGGTGATCTAGTCAGGCACTGGTGAAATCATTTTACCCAAAATACTATATTAAGTAGCTGGATAGATTTGGGAATCAAGAAATGGGTTGAGAGGGGTTAGAAAAGTTCTGGGTAAAGTCATTGGGAATTGCATATTCTTTGTTTGATGGTTAAAATATAGAAAATTAGAAAATTAAGAATAGTGGAGGAATTATCTGAGGAATGACAGGTGAGGTGATTAAATTTGAAAGAATGCAAACAAGCTTTTCATAAAAGGTCAGAAAATTCCAAAAATTAGTATTTTAGATAGAGAACGAAGGGAATCACTCAATCGAGACCTAGAATTGCCCTAGGGTTTATATGAAGCACTCACTATGAGCACAATATGCATAAAATTCAATGTCATTCACCATGCTTTTGACTCAAGTCAAATATGTACGCCATAGATGCTATTAGAAAGTATCGTCATCATCATCATCATTCAAGTCTTAACCCATGTTTTTGCTTTGCCCTTAGCCCTTGTAGCCCCTTTGACTCATAACAAATCGCTTCTTTTTATGGTTGCCGCCATGACCATAACAGTGGCAAATGCTTAACTGCCAACCTGACACAGTTCTTTCTCTGGGCTTGGGACTAGTAGTCTAAGACAAGCTCACACTGGTGGAATAATGCTAATAGGTAAAGAATAGACTGGTATTGGACCAAAATGATTGGACCTTGGTGTGGAGACTAGAAATTTAAAAAATTTCTAAGATCAACCCACCTAGAAATTGAATTTCACATGAGAAAACTGGTCCTTCTCTATGATCAAGCATAGTTTTCAAGGCACGTGCAAGCATAGGCGCCTGACTAGGTGTTGCCTAGTGCGCAAAGGTAAATTTTCTTTTCCTAGTGCTTCAAGGCGTGTTTCTCAGAAATAAACCTTTTCTTCATAATGTTTCAAGGCTCGTGTCTTAGAAATAACTATCACCTAGGACAAGAGGGGGCTAAGGTTTGCTTTTGTTATAGAAAAAGAAGAAAAAAAATCAACTAATAAGGAGAAGAAAGGGCAAACCCTTATTTTATGTCTCTGAAAAAATGAAGAAAAAACCCTAAAAATTGATGAAGGGGCGAAGCCCCTGTTCTTGTTTTAAAAAGATGCCAGAAAAAAAACTTGAAAATGATGGCTACCCCTATTTTTATTTCAAAAAAAAAAAAGAAGGAAAAGAAAAAATGTCAAATGAAGAACAGGAGTAGAGACCCTGGGATTTCACAAATGTTGCATCACAAAATTTCTTTACCATGAAAATAGAGTTCGAGCTTGCAACAAAATGGAGGAAGCTTAGATTGAGGCAAAAAACTTTCTGCTCGTGTAAACTAGAAGCAGAGGAAAAGACTCTCTAAAGATTAGAGAGAAGGAAGAAGAGGATCTTTTTGATGCAACAAGCTGGTTCATAGGCTTTGTAGATGTAGCAATACAGTCAGTGAAACATCCAAGATGGAAGAACACGTTGAAGGTGGAAGAAAGGCTCTATTAGGTTGAACAAAGAAGAAATGTAAAGGACTGGTTCCTGATGCTAACAGAACAGTTTGGTCGAGGACAAAGACAAGTAATTTGTATCCCAGAAAGCAGAAATAGCTTTGGTTGGAAAGCTATGGTAGGGCTGCTACAAGAGTATATGAGCAAGTTGATTTACCATGGGAAAGCAAGGAGGTAAACTGACAGAAAATAGAAGAAATAAGGAGAGGTCAGACTAAAAGCTTTCTCTGGTCTGTTTTACGATAGCTCCAGGAATGGATGTAAGTGGTGGGAATGACATCTGGGAGAAAAGTGGTTGTTTCGGTGAAGAACAAGTTAAAAGATTGGAAGGAGATTCTGAATGCTATTGCACATAAATTACAACTAAAAGATATGTTACTGCGTAAGCCATTTGAACCTAACAAAGCCATTCGGAAGCGAGAAACTCTAATCTCAGCTTCTGTACAATGGAGACCAGTGAGGGACTGGCTAGAGAAAGTATCAATAGCATGTGGAGAGGTCTTGGAAGCGATTAACATAGTGGACCTTCACACAACAAGAATCAGAGTTGTAGGTGGCAAGTCAAAAGCAATCCCCTGTTCAATTGATCTACTGGTTTGGAGTTTGGCGCAAAATATGGATTGCAACCAAAGCAGCACTGTTCTAGAGTTGTGGGAAGAAGGTAGAAGATGACGTGACATAGCCTGGTTGGTACCATGTGGTAAGGAAGAAGTGGAGGGTTGAGATGATCAGATGAGGTGGCAGAAAAAAATATCACAAAAGAAGGGGAAGAGTCCTTGAAAAGAAAGGAAGCCAGGGTTTTGCGAAGGAATAATCTCAGGCTACAAAAGGAAACTTAGGCCGAAGGGAGGAAATCTTATGGTTGGGAGAGAATCTTATGTAAATGCGATGTCAGAAGGGACAACTTGCTTGGGGACTTGAATGAACTTAGTGACTAATGGCTCGGTATCCCAACCTAGCGCTTTAAAATCTTACATGCCTGAAGGCTTGTACCGGAGAAGGCAGAGCGAACCAACTCTTTTCTTAAACCAACCTCCTGGTAGAGAAGCAGTCTACCAAAAATGCTGGGATATAATCAAAGATGATTATATCGCCTTCTCATTTGGATTAAAGGAAAAGGAAATCCGGGTTCTAATGCCACTTTTAGTGTAGTAATTCCTGAGAACAAAGAAGCTTTACACCCAAAGGATTACAGACCAATAAGTTTGGTGGGAAGCCTCAATGAAATCTTAGCAAAGGTCCTTGGGGAGATTGAACAAGTTTTTGCCATTTGTGATTTTACAAAATCTAGAAGCTTTTGTCGAGGGAAGACAAATAGTAGACCAAATTCTGATTGCAAATGAATGTGTAGAGGAAAAGAGGAATAGAGGAGAAAATGTTTAATTTGCAACTTATATTTGTTAAAGGCTTATGATTTCGTAAACTGGGAGTTCCTTTGGGAGATCATGGAGAAATTGGCTTTTGTAGATAGATGGCGAAATGGATTAGAGGATGCATCAGTTCTTGCCATTATCCTATTCTGATTAATAGAGTGTCAAGTGACTTCTTTCCAGCAAAGAGGGGTTTGAGGCAAGGGGATCCTTTCTTCTATGCTTTTCACTAAGGTGGTTGATGTGTTTAGTAGAATGATAACAAAGGCAAATGAAAGTAGTCTCCTAAGGGGATGGAGAGTTTGGAGGCAGGAAGTGATTGTGACACATTTTTTCTTTGTGGATGATATTAACATTTTCTGTGAGGAAGGAATTGAGGATTGGTGGAGGAATTTAAAAGAGATCATTTCTACTTTTGAGTATTGTGAATTAGCTTGGAGTAAATTCACAATAGGTGCTGATCTGATCCTCTATTTCTATATTTGACTGGTATTTCTTGTTTACAAGGTGAAGTCATAATTTCAATTGTTCTAAGTTGTAACTCTTTAAGTCTTCAAAATCTTCAAAGAAAGAAACTAACAAATACATGTTGATTTGTGAAGTAATAAAAAGAATGTTATGGTGTAGCATTGCTTATGCTAATATTATGAGCTCAAAGTATAAAAATATAAAATATAAAAATGTCGTAAGTTATTGTAAAGTGCTTGGCGTTTGCTGAGGCAAGAAATAAAAAGTGCTTAGTTGCCTAGGCAGATGCCTTGACAACTATGGGATCAATTTAGAATAATCATGTCAAAATTGGTTCCAACAAATTGGATAGGATGTTACCTGATACGAAGTCTACCAGTGCAGCTTCCAATGTGGTATTCACTCTCAAAGAACAAGATCCCAAGTCCACACCCAACTGAATATGAGGGAGCTCCAATGGTGATCAAATTGCTACTTGAATTGAGGGTGTTATCCTTTGCACTCTTTTAGGTGGATTGAATTCAACAATGGTGCACTACAAAATAATGCTAAAAGGTTTTTTCTTTTTTTGTAAAAACTATGTTGGGAGAGAGGGGAAAATCTCTCTTTCACTCTTGGCCGAAATTGGGTCTTGAATGCTAGATCATTTTGACTAGATTGTTTAACCTAGTCCCTCTTTCAACTACTTCTATATATAGGACTCTAGAGAGTCCTAATAGGAGTTTACTATGGTTCTCTCATCTGAGTAGGAAAGCTAGAATGTAGGAAACAGCACAAATTTAGGACAGATTCTAAACTATTTAAACAAAATAGTTTTGACTTAAAAGAATTAAATTCTAAGCTACTTAAACAATGATTATGAAATTTTAAGTAGGAGTTTACTATTATCATTACTTTTAACTTAAAAAAGAAAACTCAATTAAATTCTAAACTATTTAAACAATGATTATGAAATTTTAAGTAGAACTAAACTATGTCTAGACAAAATGACCGTAGTACCTGACTACCTGTGCTGCCTAAAAGACTACAAAAATATATAAAAATTGAGAAATAGATGATGATGATGATGATAATGAGCTAATTGTAAAATGAGTTGTCCATATTCTTGCCCTCTGTTATTTTCACATAAGATGCTCCATCATCATTCATGGACAATATTTTAATAAAACTTAAAGATAACTGAACCCTAGACACGATTAAATCTACACTTGTTTTGTTGGTCAAATATAAAAATAGTAGGTTAAATTGTGTCTGTTTTAGTAATATTTGATAGATTTGTCCATGCCCAAGCCATGGCTGGTTCCTTTGTTTTTGGGCTGGTAAAACACAAATGGTGCTTACAATTGAACAAGTTGGATGTAAAAGAAACTAATCTATAGCATCACTATATCTGCTCTTATTTGCATCCTTTATCCTTGGATCCAACAAGATCTGCTTCATTGGATATTAATTGTATGAATCATGGATTCTTTTCTTCCTAACTTTTAGGGTAAATTACTCAAACCTTCCTTGTGTTTTCCGGCAAATGCTCTAACCTCCCTTGTACTTTGACCTCTTCAAATTCTTCTCTTGACATTTTTGAGAAATTATACAAACAGACCCTTTCTGTTAATTTGACGTTAAGAACTTAACCTAAAATAATGATGTCATGCTTTTAAACACTTAAAAATTTCTAATTTGCTCATTAATTACAATATTGGAGTGTCTATTCACTAAAATACGCCCAAAATATGGTAAGAAAAAATCCTTTCTGGGGTATTTTGTTAATAGACACTCCTATTCTGTAATTCATTGGAAAATTGGATGTCTAAATGCTACATAATCATTTTTACGTTTTTAACGTCAAACAAATGGAAGGGGTTTGCATTTCTCTAGAATGTCAAAGGGAGGAATTTAGAGAGGCCAAAGTACAGGGGAGGTTAAAGCATTTATCAGAAAACATGGGAGATTTAAGAAATTTAACCTTCATTAATTATTAATTGTACTGTACTTAATCATCTTTATCATCTTATGTTCAGGGAGTGTAAGATCAGATGAGATGTTTTTCTCCATGCTGCCTCAATAGTTCAATGCAGTTTCCAACTTGTTTTAGGTTGGCCATAGCATGCTTTACAACATCTGACACGCGTATGAGCTTACTCTAATGAAAGGACTATTGATAGGTGGATCAACTTGGCTAGTCTGGGACACTAGCTGTAAATATAATGTGTGATGTTTATGACTTCATGTGTTTACTCTGAAACTGCTTTTACTGAAAATGTGCATAATTATCACGTCTTGCAGCTTACCAAACTTCATCATGCCTTCGCTAATGTAATTAGACAAGGCTGCTTTTGGTTTGATAGAAAATAGGAGAGAAACTGAATGTTGAGAGAAGTTTTTACTAAAATTCACAAATTTTATAACAACTTTCTCGTCTTTATTTTTCTCTTTTAAGGCCTGTTTGTTAGGGCATCAGCATTGATTGAACTGTGTTGACTGAGCCACTTCTGAGAAGTTGCCAAAAATAGTTTTGGTCGAAAGTCAATTTCGCAATTCATGCAAGTGTAGCTTTGTCTTTGCATGTTTTTCACCAAACATGACTGCATGGGTTTCTGTGTGAACCCTACTTTGCAATACCTGAATCTGTTGCGTGAAAACCCTCCCAAATGAACATCTATTTTCTATCAAACCAAAAAGAGTGTTACAAAACAGAAGTCAATTGAATCATATATTCGACCTGTTATGTGGGTTTAAGCCAAGATTCAAAGTATCGAAAATGCAAGGTGTAGTGGAAAAATAATTTTAAGAGATGTATCGGGATATGTTTTGGATACGCATGGATACAGACACAAAATTAAGATATATATATATATATATATAAGGAAATTCAAATATATTCTAAAAAAATATATTATTAATAATAATTACAAATTTTAAATGATTGTAAATAAGTTATTTAAATGTAAAAATCCATATTTACAATCATTTAATTATAAATAATTACAATTAATAATTATTGAAAATGATAAAATAAATAAAATGTGAGAAAACAAAAAAAACTAATATATGAATGTGTATACATCAATTTTCGAATAACCAATATAAATGTTATGTGTGTACATCAATTTATATTAATATTTATTTGTATATAATTTTTAATAATTAATTCTATCATTTATTAATAAATATCCATTAAGGAAAGAGAAAATTTACTTAAAAACAATAATGCATACAACTATAACAAATAAATGTGTGTGGCCTAGTGGTGACTTACAGTTGTTAAAACCTAGTGGTCAAGGTTTGAATCTTGCTATTATTTAAAGTCTGTAGTTTTTATACTAACAAAACGAAATTAATGAGATGGGATCATTAATTAGTAGAATTAATGAGAGAGTATCATTAATTAGTGGAATTAATAAGAGAATGAAGGGCATCCAAAAAAAGATATAGAAGTAATTAAAGAGATTAATGAATGAAGGGCATAAAAAAAACAAGTGTATCAGGCTTGTATCAGTGTGATACATACAAAAAAAAAAATGGAACAGATGATTTCTACACGTTCTGCGTATCAGACTCTTGTTGGAACAATATGTATCAGTCGATACAACCCGATACTTTATGAAATTTTGAACCTTGGCCTAAGCTATAATCAACACTGGGTTTGGAAGGGGATGATAGACATGTATCATTTTTATGTGAAAAAAATTAAGATGCCAATTAGTGCCCTTAATGGATTAGGTCTGGTTGACCCAAACCCAACCTAATAAGTGAATATGCAGAAATAGTTAACCTGACATCTCTTTAGAGATTTCATTCAGGGTCTACTCTTATCATCACATTTTCATTTTCTTTTTAAACTTCCTTTCTCTCTTTATATTTTTGTTGATTTTTTATTAAGGCTCTCTTCATAGTCATATGGATGGACATTGCTCTTCATAATCTTCATTAACATGAATCGTGCTTTCTTATTGATTAGGGATGACTTTATTTTGGGATCAAATGTAAATATGTAGGGAAAATCAGAACTAGCGTGTAGGTGTCATCATGAAAGATCTCATAACGATAAAATTATCTTAATTGCCTCAATTTCTTTTAACTATTTCTTGATTCTTCATTTGCCAATTCACTATTGCACTGATCTTCCTTGATCTTTCATTTTCAGCAAAGCTATCAAAAGTTCATTCCCTTTTCCTTTTTTTCTTTTTCTTTTTCTTTTGTTCATTTCTCTTCCTTTCATTTTCATTTTCATTTTTCTCCTTTTTTCTTTTTTTTTTCTCCTTTTCTTTGAGCTTTTGCTCAATTACCCTAACAACATTCTACTTGTTTTGACACTCATCACTAGGAAATGTTTATTGTGAAGAAAATGCTGATAGAAAAGCTCAATGAGCCAATTAAGGGATTTTACTTCATATTATCAGGATTAAATGCACAAGGTTAAACAAGCGACCATAGGAGACCTCCCTTTATTTCATTATCGACTACACTTTGTATATTAAAGAAGCATATGTTGAGTATAGCCTATGCCTGATTTATTACCTCTGCACTCTAGATACGGTTATGATTCTTTTGGTGGAGCAAATTCATTCAAACACTCTCATTTTTCTTTCTTTTTTTTTTCTTTTTTCTATTTTTTTATTTTTCATTTTTTGTCCATTTGATAATCCCTATGGTGCATCCTATGGATTTGGCTAGTTTGTTGAAAAAAAGGTCTATTGCATGAGCTCAACTAGTTAACAAGCGATTTTTGACAATTCATAAGGTCATAAAGAATAAAAAACAGCCAAGGATGGCCTTGAGTCATTTCTCTAATTAATCAACAATGTACTATGTTAGGATGGTGTCTTTGTTCTATGTTGGCTTTTAGGCATTAATCATAAGAAGTTTGTTAAATTCCGATGGCTTCAATGTTGCCCCTAGTTTGGACGATGAGGGTGGCTTTATTATGGATTGGGATGTTAAAAAGGGAATTCGATTAGAGCTCTTAATCAACAACTAACTTTTCTTTAAACATGCTTTTAGGGCTTTGAGAGGGAATAAACTCCGCCTTCTTTTGTAGGTAGACAATCCTGAATGGATTAATCACTCTCTTATAAGTAGGCATATCAGGAATGGAAAAGAGAAATTGAGAAATAATACTTTATTTATGGAAGTGGTCAGACCCATGAGATGAGCTACTCTATATACCATTTTGAAAGGGATCAGGTCGGATGTAATTCAAAATGCCTTGGAATGACAAAAGATAGGATAACAAACTAAGCACATGTAACAAAAAGGACTTTGAATGATTGGAGGTAGGGTAGAGAGAAAGGTTTAAAATTTTGATATGATACGCCCGATATGGGGCATATATTGTACCTTTGAAAAACATATACTACACATGGAAATTGGGTGTCTTGTCTTCTTTCATGTGTATCAGACCCATATTGGGGGTGTATCGGGGCATATTGGTAGCGTATCGACAAAAAAGATACAACCAAAATTGAAACAAAAAAAATAATGGGAGAAAGTAAGCTTCTTTTCCCTGAAATAAGCCTTCTTTCACCCCCCCTAAATGATTCTAAAACTCCAAATCTCATTCCTAAAGTGCTAGATTTGCAAACATTTGCAAGAAATAAGTGTGAATCATTATTTTTTTTTAATTTTTCAAATTTTGAAAAAATATGGCAAAAAGAATTTTTTTTTTCAATTTTTATAATATCTTGTTATTTCTTTTTTTCTTTAATGTTTAAATTTATGTTGATCTACATTTTGTCACATTCAAAATCACATTTTTTTTTGTGTTATCAGTAGATTTAAGAAAATTTCATGATGGTATTTAGGGAAATATAAATTAACAAAAATTTGAAAATGTAGTTTTTTCTCTGCCTATAAAGACTAAATATGTTTTAGATCTATGGATTTATCTATCATATTATAGAGCAATGGGAGTTTCTTCTTTAATTTTTTTTTATTTTTATATTTTAGAAATAGAAAATAAATAATAATTAATTATAGTTTATCATTTGATCACAACAATTGAATATATTATAATTCTATGGACGATATATCATATCCACATACCAATTGAAATTTTTTCTTTAATAATTAATTTTTGAATATATTATATAATGTTTATTTTTTTTAATTTTTGGAAATAAATAATTGTTAATTATATTTTCACTTAGAAGTTATTCTGATGCATCTTTTATGGTTGGATAAGAGAGTTGGGTTTTTCCCATCCCATAAGACATTAAAACTTAAGAATTATAATTTATAAATTATAGTTAAGCATAGGATTTTTAATGAAATTATAATTAACTACAATACATTTCTTCATAAAACCATTAAAATATATTAGGTTAATGTATATACACCTCATTAAGGTCTTATATTTAGTGTTACTGATGTATTTTTTATGATTTATTAAAGTATTTATAGTGTTTTTGAGCATATCTATGCGTATCTTAGTTTTCTTTGATACGCATACGTATCATAGGTGTATCCCGATATGTCTCCTTAAAATTGCCTTTCCAATACACTTAGCGTTTTCGATACTTTGAACCTTAGTAGAGAGCATTGACCCCTTACCTCAAAAACTATATTCAAATTTACGTAGTCGGTTTGACACCACAGATAATACCTAAAACTGGCCAAAGATGGCACTCAAAATATTCTTAAGAGATGAACGAATGGGTTAGTGCAAAAATGATTCTCAAGGCTCTGAAAATGCAATGAAACCTTGATCAATTAACTCCCGATATGCAATCTTGAATTGATGGCAATTGTTAGTGATATGCCCTAGGCTTCTATGATAATCACAACACGCATTCTCGTCATAGTGTTTTGGTTTATGCACCAGTGGATGTCTCTCTTTAGGAAACTCTAGATATCTATCTTTAACCAAGGCAGGTAACAACTGAGAGTGTGGACAAGGAAGTGGGGTTAACTCATTTTATATTTGTAGAGCTTGTTGCACCCTTGGAGTCTACTGTTGATGCATTGGTGTAGACACCCTAAAAGCAGGATTAGATGAAGTTATGGCTGCAAAGCTAGTTGGGTGGCCAGATATGAATTGTAGTTCACTCCTTCCTTGACACTTGGCTCTAGACTTCTTTGGTAGAGAGGTGGTTGCCCCTACTCCAATCATTAGTGGGTTAATCCGACCATGCCTAAGAGATTCCTCAATTCTAACAACTCCCTTCATTACATCACTTTAATCCTTAAGTGGTTGTGCAACCAACAAAGTGTGGTATGGATCTTTCAAAGTCTTGATGAAGAGTTTAACCATTTTCCTTGGGTATGGGGTAACACAGTTTGAATGCCACAAGATTGGCAACCACATTCTAGCACTCCTAGCCAGGCTTTTTTGAAACATTTGGACCAAAAGCTTCTCATTAGAACTATAATAAAACATATCTCCATAAAAGACTTTCAGGTAAGTCTGCGAGCAACCTTTTCCATCATATTT